AGAATAATTTTAGTTATTCATCATTGATAGAGTCAGTAAGCAATGTAAATGAGAAAGGACACAATACTAATTTACTTAACGATTATATTTGTTTCAATCCTTTATTCAAGAATTTACTTACTTAATATTTGAAAGAGAACCTTGACTGAAAGAAATTGAATAATGAGGGAACATTTAGTTAATGGCAGTATAAAAACATGAATAATAGCATGTACTACGTATGTGACATTTAGCTACCCTGATCAGAATATAGGTGGCCATTATTTAACTCGGTAGTAGTACATTCTGGTATATAGATTTCCAAACATTAATACAATTAGAAAAGATAGTGATAAAGATATGAATTCAATGAAATTAATTAGCAATCGTTGGTTAAAAATAAAGACCCCCCACTTTTGTCATAAGAACACCAACTTGATTTATCGGCTCTCCGTGACTTTGTGAGCATCATCATTTTGTTATATATCCCCTTCCACAGTTCCACATCAGGCATCAATTGATTTTTAGTTTTTAGGACGTATTACTTCCTCCCTTTCTTAAAACTGTAGTTACATCACTTTCGTTAAATGAAAGTTTTAAATTCATTACATTACTTCCTTATGTTAATAAACGTACACTCTATTTTTCTCCTTCTAGGACTTCAATTTTATATTCTCTTTAACTCTCTCATCTCCAAACATTGCTCCTGAGTTTGCAATTTGCAAAGTGATGCAATTAAAAAAAAAAAAAAAACTGAGGAAATATATTTTATTTAAGGTTCAATATGTTAGTATTACAAAAAAAAAAAAAAAAAAAAAAAAAAAAAAAAAAAAAAAAACAATATTAGACTTAAGTTGAGACTTCTAGATTGACGAAAGATTTTGAATATCTTATATATATTCATAAAGTCCTAAGGCATATTAGTTGTTTAAGTACTCAATATGATTAAGAGTGTTTTATACACAATACATTTCACAAAAATTATTGATAGAACAATTTGTGAGCTCCGATCCTAATCCGATCAATTTGCAGTAATTAAGCTTAACATCACAATTTAAAGGTAAAGATTTCGCCAATGTTGATTTTGTCAACAATTACTTCACCGGAATTCTTTTAATACCCACCGGTAGTCACCTAACGAGAAAAATGAAAAGTGGGTCTCCAAATGATGAAAAATATGAAAGATGAGTCTTCATAAACATATTTTAAAGCCTACTGTTTGTTAAAAATGTATACTCTAGAATTCCTTTATTTCAACACCTAGTTTTTGATAGCTCAAACCAAAATGCAAGCATCATAAATAAAATAAATTTCATATTCTCTTATATCATCCTAGTTTAAAGACCTTCTATTGCAGTGGTTCAAGGGTCGCTTTGCATCCTCGGGGTGTGATGATCAAGTGTCACAATGAACATATCCGCTCCCCTTATCCCCCAGACATTGCCAGCCGAGTATCAAATGTCATCCGATTTTTGTAAAAGTTTGTAACGATTAGGGCTCAATAACCTAGTCGTCCTTTTAAAAAAAATGTAAGTGATGTAACTAACAATAATTTTACCTTTATTTTCTCCCGGAAAATTTGCAAATTGCAGCCATTTAAATTTTTTTTTGCAAATTGCAGCCCAAAAAATCATATAAATTGTAAATTGCAGCCCGATTCAACTTTTTCATCGTTTTACAAGTTGAAAAATCTTCGATTAAGGTTTTAGGGGCCATTTTAACCCATAGGGTTCCGAATTGAGCTCAGAATTAGCAAAAAAATAACGCAAGTATCTCGTTTTGCGTAATAAAAATGTATCGATTTGTGGAAAACTGTAAATATGAGACACTTACGTTATTTTTTTGCTGGTTCCGAACTCAATTCGACTTCCTAAGGCCTAAACTAAAACCTTTATCGAAGATTTTTCAACATGTAAACCGGTGAAAAAATTGAATCGAGCTGCAATTTACAATTTATACGAACTTTTGGGCTGCAATTTGCAAAAAAAAATTTAAATGGCTGCAATTTGCAAAATACGAACTTTAAATGGCTGCAATTTGCAAATTTTTCTTTTCTCCCAAATTAATACTTCCTCCGTTACATATTAGTTGCAACTTTGGGGATTATTTGTGAGAGATAAAATATTTTAAAGTTGCAACTAATATGTAATGGAGGTAGTATTTATTATTCCAATAAGAAAAACATACTTATAATTGATTATATTATACACGGTCCAAAAAGCTGAGTTGTCCTAATGACAAATCTTCTCCCCAATAAAATCCTTCACCATGACCTTAATTTCATCCTTTATTACCTTACTAACCCAAATCTAATCCAACGTACAAGTAGTTGAAGTGTATTATGTGATGTAAGATCTTTTCCCAGCTTTTCAACTCTTGCAAAAGTTAAAAAAGGGAGCAGGTAAACAATCTAACCTCCAATTAAAAATAGTACTACCAGTTTGTTTGCATAAAATCATCCAAAAGAAAAAGGATTGATCTATTTCTAAGTTTACACGTAAAATAGTGCAACTTTTTCCTAAGATTGTGAGATTTGATACTTCTACTATTCTACAGTACATAAAGTTCACTCTCATTTTTCAATTTTTAGTCTGCAAAAATATCAATACCAAATCTTGTTCATCAATGACACTAACAAATTCAATGTAGATAGAGAAATTTTAGAGAGAGAAGTAATATGCACATGCAACTGCAATAAATCAGTACAAAAAACAAAAAATTTAGCTTCTATACAAAAAAACACCAAGATTTTTTTGTTTTATAATTTTGTCTATTTTTCTTGATGATCTTTGAGATCCAACAATTACATGTTTTTCATCTTCGGACCAAAATACCCTCGGTTTTCTCAAATAGAGTACCAAGAAAAACGTGGGTGTTTTGGATATTTCACCGTCGTCCATGTCCAAAAAATATACTAAAATTAAAATTACTCCCACCCTAAAAAAAAACCAGCAGGTCTGTATACAACAAGTGTATTGCATACAACAACAATTATATTCACCCTTAGCTATCGATCGTGATTCAGGGTGACTGAACCTGTTGTATACAATAAACCCGTTGTATACAATTTATCGAAAATATAAAAATCATGAGAACTAATTAATTTACTTGTTGTGGAGAGGATCCGGGCAGCTTGGAACTTTTCTCTTGTACTCATCTAATGTACTCGAACTAGTATTGAATTGTAATGAAGTCATGTTAAGCTTCACATATTTAGCAAACAAATCAGCATTACTCTCCTCCTTAACATCGTTAGCGTTTACATTGTCGTCGTTGTTGTTGTTGTCGTTGCCGGGAAATGAGCGTATACCTCGAACAGACTGAAAAACAAGCGTAAATACGATGAGAACCATAATTCCGGCCGCCATTGGTGGTGGTGATATTAACGGTCTTTTCTTGCCGCCGGCAAACCACATTTCCGGTTGACCCACATAAAGTTTAGCAGACTAAATTGGATATTCCTGCAAAAACATAGTTTATTTTATTTTATTTTATAAAAATTTTGAGGGTTTTGATTTAGAGCAGACGAGTTAACTGTGGTCTGACTTATAGGAAGGGAAATGAAGGTGAAGGTGAGTTTGGAGGTTATAACGTGAAATTTAGGAGAGAGAGAGAGAAAGAGGTGAAGGAGGGACGGATAAATGGGGTTTTCAACTTACATGCTATTGGGCCCACGTGATGAGGAGACAACCGTATCATTCATTCACTGGCTTTTTTCCATTCTATATTATGCTATTTTTGTTACTATTATCCTATCATAGATTAATTTAAGTTTTCCTAATTTGACTAACTAATTTTGTCATACTTTATTTGTAGTATGATTATTATGATTATATGTTACTATGTTAGAGATTGTTATGTCATATTGATCATACTTAACATTATTATCGATGCAAATTATTATGAATAATGATATAAAATAATTATAAAAAAATAAAAATAAAAATAAAAAACATGATATATTATCTCACCATCTATATATTGTATCCATCATTCAGTATTCAAGTTGAATTTACCCATATGGTGATGCATGGACAACTTATATAATTATTTAAATTAAATTATCTTGTAGACATATAAAGGAAATACTACGAGTTATATAATTATTTAAATTAAATTATCTTGTAGACATATAAAGGAAATACTACGAGTTTATGTTTCATTGATAAATTAAACTATCAATCCCTCACCTTTTCATTGGAAAATTATTAATGATGAATTACAACCTCGAATCTTAGGGCCTGTTCTCATACGTTTATTTTCAGTTTAATTCAGTTCAGCTCTTAATTTGCTTCTCTTATGAAATATTCATTTCAATTCAGTTCAGCTCAGTTCAGTTCAGTTCAATTCAGTTGATTTCAGTCTATTAGAACAGACCCTTAAAGGCCTTTTCGAAACTTTTTTTTTTCAATAATGATCAGTACTATATGCTGACGGCTCAAATCATCACTATGTTCTAGCTTTTTTTAACCTAAGCTAATCTCTATTATGTACTAGACCACCTTAAGTAGATGATCTGATGATGTAAGAAAACAAATCATAACTAACACTTCATTCGTAATAGAACAATCCTTTGATTAAAGTTTAATATATAGATGTGACACTCAAGCTAAGCTAATTTGCTTTGAGGAATTTTTTGTCTACTAGCTTAACAAGCATGAAAATTCAACTACATCCTGTTAAATTGGTCCTTTTTATCAAAATCCCAAGCTCCTCTCTTTTTTTAGAACAACTGAACAAACTGCAAGTATTTGCAGATGAAACCTAGAAAATCTGGGATTAAGCTAGAAGAGAGAGAGAATTTGAGAGGAAACTTTAGAAAGAGAAAGTTAGGTTGAATTCATTAATGAGGAAAAATGATCTTACAACAATATTACAGCTCATGAAACTATAAATAGCAAATATATCACACATACAAAATGTGTGACTAAAATACATTCTGTTATGCCAATAACAGAATTGTAACTAACTAAAATATCTACAGGATATTTACAGCAAGCTATTCTAACACCCCCCCCCCCTCAAGAATGAGCCAGTTGTGAAATACCAGGCCATTCTTGAATAGGAGCATTGTTCACCAACCCAATCTTCGAACTCAAGAACCTGTGCTGATCTGAGCCTAAAGGCTTTGTCATAATATCTGCCAACTGAAGAACAGATCTAACATGCTTTAGCTGAATAAAACCATATTGTACCTGCTCCCTAATATAATGCACATCAATCTTCTGACTTTTACCTCTCATGTGTTTAGTTTTCTCATGAAAACATGGATTCTCAGCAATATGAATAGCTGAAACATTGTCACAATACAAAGTGAGAGGAGTAGGAATAGTGATATCCAATTCAGCAAGCAATCTTTCCAACCAAATCAATTCATCAGCAGTATGACTCATGCTTCTATATTCTGCTTCTGTTGAGCTCTTAGAAACAACTTTCTGTTTCTTAGTTTTCCAGGAAATTAAAGAATTTCCAAGAAATACACAATAACCAGTGAGTGATCTTCCTGAATCTGAACAAGTACCCCAGTCAGCATCATTATAACCTGTCAGAACAAAATCTGAATTGGTTGGATAAAATAAGCCAAAATTCAGACTTCCTTTGAGATACCTCAGAACATGTAAGGCTGCATCAAAATGAGGTTTCCTAGGAGCACCCAAAAACTGACTTATTTGCTGAACCACATATGAAATACCAGGCCTGCTCATATTAAGATACAAAAGCTTCCCAATCAGTCTTCTGTAAACTTCAGGATCACCCAACAGATCACCATTATCCATGTTCAACCTCAGACCCTTTGACATAGGAAAAGGAGCAGCATTACAGTTTTCCATGTTCTGATCCCTTAACAAATCCAAAATGTACTTCCTCTGATTGAGAAAAATACCAGAACCAGATCTAGAAACCTCAATTCCCAAGAAATACTTCAAAGAACCCAAGTCCTTGATAGTGAAAGCAGTGTGTAAAGCAACTTTCAGATCATTAATCAAGGAATTGTCATTTCTAGTGAGCAACAAATCATCAACATAGGCAACAACAATTAAAAAAGAACCATTCTCTTTCAGAACAAACATAGAGTAGTCTTATTTGGACTGGACAAAACCCCAGTTAACAAGAAATTTGGTTAACTCTTTGTTCCAACATCTAGAAGCCTGCTTCAAACAATATATAGATCTATTGAGCTTGCAAACCTGCCCAGGTTGAGCCTTTTTATAACCAGGAGGAGGATTCATGTAGACTTCTTCATCAAGAAAACCATGCAAAAAAGCATTGTTTATGTCAAGCTGTTGAATATCCCACTGTTTACAGCTGCAATTTCCATAACAACCCTAACAGTAGTTAACTTTGCAACAGGACTAAAAGTGTGCTTATAATCCTTTCCTGAAATCTGTCTGTCACCCCTTGCAACAACTCTTCCTTTGCACCTTTCAACCTCACCATTGGGCTTAAATTTAGTTTTATAAACCCACTTGCAGCCTATAGCTTTTTTACCAGGAGGTTAAGTGGTGAGAACCCAAGTTTCATTGTCTTCCAAGGCCTTTAATTCTTTCTCCATGGATTCCACCCACTTAGGGTGTTCCTTAGCTTGATTATAACAGGAAGGCTCAAAAGCAGTAAGAACATTAGCAAGGCTGTGTAAAGAACTAGAAGATAAATGAGCAAGGGAAGGTTCAGAATATATATTGAAAAAAAGAGAAGAATCTGAAGAATTTTGATCAATGGTTTTGTGTTTAGGAAGAGTAAGAATAAAATCTTTGAATTTTGTGGGAACAGTGGAAGGTCTAGTAGAAAATCTCACAAGTTGCTGAGGTTGTACATCATCTGAATTCTCAGGAACAGAACCAGAATTAGGATGTATAGGAGAGGAAGAAGAAGAAATAGGAGTAGGATTCTGAAAATAATCAGAAAAAGAAGAAGAAGGAGAAGAATGGATGTGAGAAGAAGTGGGAATAGAAGAAGAAGAAAGAGGAATGTGATCTGAAGATAAATCCAGTGCTGGGTTTACCAGAGGTAAAGAATTATTTTGCAAAATAGGAAACTCAGATTTTCCTTTAAATGGAAATTCTGATTCCACAAAGTAGACATCCCTACTCAACACAACCTTATGAGTATCAATATCATATAGCTTATAACCTTTCTGACCATAGGGATATCCAAGAAAAACACATCTCTTAGACCTTGCAGCAAATTTATCAGATAGTTTCTGAGATGGATAACACAAAAATCCTATTACCCTTAAGAACTCATAATCTGGCTGTTTCTGTAATAACATTTCATATGGAGTTTTCCAATTCAAAACAGAACTTGGAAGAAGATTAATAAGGTAAGTAGCAGCCAACAAACAATCCCCCCAGAACTTATAAGGCAATCCAGCATGAAATCTCAATGTTGCAGTTTCTAGCAAATGTTTGTGCTTCCTTTCAACCCTACCATTTTGCTGTGGATTACCAGGAATGCTCTTCTGATGCACTATACCTTTCATACCAAACAAAGTTCTGCATTGGTCTTGTATTATCTCAGTCCCATTATCACTCCTAACTACCTTCACTGTTCTTTGAAACTGAGTATGAACATATTCAAGAAAAGCAGCAATAGTTGGATAAACTTGTGTCTTTGACTGTAAAAGGTATGTCCAAGTAGTCCTAGTATGGTCATCTAGGATAGTCAAGAAATAAGTAGCACCAGACATAGAAGGCCTAGAATACTGCCCCCATAAATCAAAGTGAACCAAATCAAAAGCATCACTAGCATGAGAAGAAGACTGAGAATAAGGAAACTTATGATGTTCCCCCAACACACAAGCTTCACAGCTAAAATCACAAGTATTATTACCAATAGATGGAACTATTATATGTTTCAAAGTATTAAAAGAAGCATGTCCTAACCTAGCATGAATAATCTCAGGACTAGGTTTTACAGAAGAAGTTATTATATTATTCACTGAAACAGAACACAAATCTGAACTGCCAGTGTAAGGAAATGAAAAAGAAAAACTGTATAAGCCTGAGTACCTTGTACCACCAGCTACCACTTGTTTAGTTGCAAGGTCCTGAAAATAACAGGAATCTGACTCAAAAACTGCAAGTAACTTGTTTTTATCAAGCAATCTTCCAACTGATAAAAGATTGTGCTTAAACTGTGGGATGTAAAAGACATTTTCCAGTGTGACAATCTGATTTAAACTAACATTTCCTACATGCTTGACCAAATTAACAGTTCCATCTGGTAAAGACACTTTAACTGGATTTTTAAGTTGTTTTAAAGAAGCAAATAAAGACAAATTAGATGTCATGTGGTCTGTGGCTCCAGTATCAATAATCTAGGTAGTATGATCAAACACATGATTCAAACAATCAACATTAGAGACAGAAGTTATACCAGCAAAATTGACTGCAGCAGAAAGAGGATTATCCTGGACTGAAGAATCTCCTGACCTCATCATCTTCAGAACTTCATGATACAAAGCTGAAGCCATAACAGGATCTACACTACCAGAAGCAACAGAACCACTTGAATCACCATACTCAGGTGCCTTTCCCAGTATTTCATCCCCTACAGAAGAGATATTTGCAGCAAACCTTGAACCAGACTCATTCGAATTTGTTGAACTGACTTTGTCCTTATTCCACCAGTCAGGAAATCCATTCAACTGAAAACACTGATCAATTGAATGTCCTTTCTTCTTACAGTAATTACAAACTACATCACTCCTTTGTTTCTTGAAATCCTTCTTGAAATTCTGAAAACACATGCTTGGGAAAAGTCTTAGCAACATGCAAAGCACTTAATTCAGGAATATTAACCTTGACATCATTCAGCTTATTCTGCTGTTCCACTTGCTGCAAGGTGTGATAAGCTTTATGCACATGAGGTAAAGGATCAGCACTCAACATATTAGTGATCACTGGATCATAAGATCTGTTCAAACCAGATAATAACTGCATCAACTTATTACGTTGATCAGTTTCAAGAATCTTCTTAAGCATTCCACATGTACAATTCTTCATTGCACCACAAGTACAATCAAGAAAACCCTCAAGAATCTGTAATTGATCCCAAATTGCCTTCAATCTACCAAAATATTCAGCAATTGAAGAATTATCTTGCTGAGTAGAAGTAAGAGATCGATGCAACTCAAACAATCGAGGAGCAGTAGTATGACCAAAACGCTCAACAAGTTCATTCCATAATTGACAAGACGAATTAACAAACATAAAACTCTCAACAAGATTTTTATCCATTGAATTCAACAACCAGGACATAACCATATAATCATTCCTAATCCATTTCTGCCTATCAACAGAACTTTCAGCAGGAATTGAAAGTGATCCATCAACAAATTGCAACTTATTCCTAGCGATTAACGCCATTTTCACAGTTCGACTCCAATTCAAGAAGTTAGAACCAGTAAGAATATGATTACCTAATTGCATGCCTGGATGATCGCCATTGCTTAGGTAATAAGGATCATTGAAGTTGATTCCAGACGACATCTGAGTACTCGGAACAGCATCACCAGAAGCACTTCCCATCGCAACAATCAACACTCAATTTCTTCGCCAAAAAACAGAGAATTAAGAGGAGAAATACGTGAATTCGAACGAATTCAAGAAGAAAAATCAAAATCGAAGAAAATCAAGAAGAAATGAGAAAGAATTATTCAAGAAAAACAGAGGAATCAAGAAGAATCAAGAAGAAATTGAGCACCGTAGCTCTGATACCATGAACAAACTGCAAGTATTTGCAGATGAAACCCAAAAAATCTGGGATTAAGCTAGAAGAGAGAGAGAATTTGAGAGGAAACTTTAGAGAGAGAAAGTTAGGTTGAATTCATTAATGAGGAAAAATGATCTTACAACAATATTACAGCTCATGAAACTATAAATAGCAAATATATCACACATACAAAATGTGTGACTAAAATACATTCTGTTATGCCAATAACAGAATTGTAACTAACTAAAATATCTAGAGGATATTTACAGCAAGCTATTCTAACACAATAACAGAATTGTAACTAACTAAAATATCTACAGGATATTTACAGCAAGCTATTCTAACAACAACCCTTACCAAAAGGGCTTGAGACAATTTATCATGGTTTTAATTGATAAAGACAACTCTAATCATTATGTTCATATTTTTCTGATACATATTACTCGCTCCGTCTTTAATTTAATTGTATTTTGATTTTTCTTTATAAATTAAAGCAATCAGCATTCAAATAGGCGTCAAAATATTTAGAGATAAATGGAACATATATGGCCAAGGCACCAACACTCTTAAGAGTAAATGCATGAGTTGATATTATTTTTTTAAAATACCACTATCTAACATGAATACATGATAGAGGAGGTATTATATAGGAAGGGTCCAAATTAATGGCATCCTTTGGTAAAGTATATTTCTGTATTATGGACCTGCAGAATAATGGACATTCATAGCTACAATGTCGCTGACTACATTTTCAGATCATATGCTTCCTTTAAAATGTCGGTGGTCTTACTAACGAAATCCATCATTTAACAGACATTCCAATCTCTCCTCTCCCAACTATTTTTCAGTTGCTCCACCTTTTTTAAGTGGAGTGACAGCTTGTATGTGTATTTCCACCTGATTCTACATTTCTACCGTACCGTCTACACGATATCCTATACTCCAATATACTTGTAGGAGTATTTACTAGAAAATAAATACAAGTATACAACTATGAACGAATATTTTGAAGTTTTAGGGCTTATTCTCTTCCGCTTAATTTTAGTTCAGTTCAGTTTAGCAGCTCAGCTCAGTTCAGTTCAATTCTTAATTTCCTTCTTTTATAAACAATTTCAGTTCAATTTAGTTCAGCTCAGTTCAGTAAATTAAATGAGAACAGACCCTTAATTGATTAATTTTTCTCTTAAATTAGTTGTATCTTTAAAAAATATTCAAATAATCCACAAAATTAACCGACATACTCTCATTATCTATAGTGATTTTGTGTAGGGTAACATTAAATAAAATCACATTAAAGATTGAGAGAAGAAGCAAATTAATACAAGTATAGATGCACCTACATAGAAGAATTTATAAAGTGTCCTACATTTGCTATCAAATTGTTGCTTTATTTGCTTTTCTATAGAAATATATACTGAGTATATGATTAATATCCCATCAATCCAACTTTTATACTATCTAGGTTTGACATTGAGCTTTGAATTAAATCTTCCACAATAATAAAATGTTCCATTTATTACTCATTATCAAGTTTACCACCGGTTATCACATTCTATTACCACCAGATGAGTGAATAAACTACCTTATAAAATAGAGGAATTACATTACATACAATTCTACTATCACCAATAATAGATTTTAATATAAGACCTATTTTAGACTTGTGATCGAACTTTCCTCCTTATTAACTTGTCTACGTCTAAGATAACATTTTGTATGAGACCGGACCCACCGTGAGTTCAATATATCTGACATTAATAATCTAATACTCTGTATAATAATCTAATATTTGACATTAATCTAATATCTAACATGTAATGTGATACAATTTTTAGCATTAGGATATTAAATTCAATTACCAATTGGTCAACTATAATACAAGACACTCCTAGAAAATCGGCATCCCATATTACTCTTAAAATAAAGAACTACATTCCACGCACTTGGTAAAGATCTAGAGCATGCATAGCATAAATCTTGCAATTAGAGAATGTATAGGTCCAATGTCCATGATTCTTGTTACCCCAATAGTTAAAATTATGGTACCTTTTAAGGATTATAGTAATCCCCAACTCTTTGTTTATTAATAATATGATAATTTGACATCCCCATATTAATAAAACCACAAAGAATTGAAAGAAAACCACTCAAGTAATCACGTTTAGTAGGTGAGATTAGTGAAAATAATTGGTTAAGAAAACTAGAGGCGGTGAAGTATAGGGGGCAAAAATGACCGGGAATCTCGCCGTGGTGCTAATAACTTTGGGTATGTAATAGGGTACGTGTGTCCTAAATCTATCATTTCGTACACTCCCGTGTTTCACCAATTTTAGAGCTTGTGAACCTAAATATTTCTAGAATTGAGTAATTTTTGTTTTAATGGATGGATGAATCAATTTGGTAAAGTCCTAGGTTTGTAATCACTCGACTCCAATGAGGCAATGATATATTTCCCCCTGTTATTCTATTGGTTGTGTAAGTTTTATCGTTGGTTTGTCATTCTTAATTTTTCTAAGAATAAGAAAAAGGCAATCGACCTAATTCAACTCTGAGTTCTAATCAAATTTTGAGGACATGCTTCTACTCGCTGATACTACTGAGCTTCATAAAAATACAACTATTGAAGAAAATTTTGTGTTGGCAAGATTGGGTTATTGTTTTCATTCTGGCTTCTCCTTGAAATATTACCTAGAAACTGAATTTAATGCGACTAAGCTACATACAAGAAAGAAATATGATGCTTAGTTTTTGTGTTGTTGTGCACCATTCTTTCTTTACTAAAAATGTTCTAACACCCACGGGCTAAGAGTTTGCTTCATATCTTTGCTTGCATGTTATTTTCGTGGTTACTCTGGTTAGCAAGTAGTTAATTGAAGTCTAATGAGCTTAATTGACTAAGCTTAATATGCATCATGCCATCATGTCGTGCATGCAAATCAATTAGACAAGTTTAAGGTTTCTTTGTTGTACGTAGAAACTAGCTAAGTCACTTGTTAACTCAACTCACGAAAATATTACACCAGGAGAAAGCTAAGTACTATACGTATCAAGTCTAATAAAAAAAAAAATCTTGCAAAAGTATATTAATTATGTGAGATCAAAAGGTATTAACTTAAAAACCCATCATTTATATTTGAATGGAACTTTCTTTCAATATTTTGTCATGGTGATATGATGTATGTCTAACTGCCTATATAATAACTAGAAATATAAAGGTGACAATCAAGTGAATTGTTTAGACAAGATTTTGATCATCGAATCAATTAAGGTCGGTTTAATATGAGGTTGGACAAAATTATATTAAAAGTCAATTATTAATGATTATGTTATTAATATATCTCTTAAATTCACAAAAGGATTACTTGGAGTCTATTATGATGATAATATGATTGATTTTCACTTTGAGTATTTTAAATAAAGTAATACACTAATGCGGTATAACAAGCAATTTTATTTCTTAATAGCTAGATTTATATATTTCTTTTAAGTTTTTGGGCAAACAGAGCAAATCAATTTTTTTTTCTTAATAGCTAGGTTTATATATTTCTCTTTTGAGTTTTTGGGCAAACAAAGGTTACAGAACAAAGCAAAGAAGATCAGATTTCAGGTAAATAGGTGTCAACAGAGCACATTAAATCAGCAAAATAAAATAAATTTTAACAAATTAGAATAAATTTCAACAGAGTGGAGCAACTCAAAAAAACAAGCTTTAAGTGTTGGTGTCATGGCAGTTTGCTAAGTTAACTCTACTTACCTATTACGAGTAATGGGAAATGCTACTGGAAGTAATTTGGTGCAAGTTTCGATATAAGAATATCCTTTTAATTTAAAAAAAAAGTCCACCATGACGTACGTATTAAAAGTTGTATAGGGCTTCACACGTCAACTTCTATGCTGGTATTTGCAAAAATTAAGATTTGTCGTATCTTTTTGGCACCATATATTCTGCTAAATGCTTACTAATTTAATGTACTTTTTATTTATAATTTTTTTTTTTTTTTGCCCAAACTTTTTATTTATAATAATTCTTAATTATTGGCACGTTAAGCGGCTACCTCTGTCAGAATTTGAAAATTGGGTTGACGATTTACTTTTATATATACAACGGTCAAAAATAATATCTACAGAACCTGAGTTGTTTTATTGTTTAATACAGTTACAGAATATATACTTAAGAAAAAAAAATGAATTAAAGTAGATTAGGGTTCCATAATATGAATACTATTTATATAGTACTATTTTTCTGTGATACTAATTTCTTCATAAAAAAATTATTAGCTCGTATTTAAGTTTTTATACCCTAAACTAAGTAAAAATAAGTAAACAAAACAATGCTTTGAATAAATTACTTCTAATCTCAAGCTATTAATTAAGTGAAAAACATGCTCTAAAAAACAAAAAAGAAAAAGTAATGAAAACATACACATATCTACAACTAAATCAACTTTATTAAGCATTAACCCAAGCTATTCAACTCATTATACTAAATTCGTCGGTTCTCATTGTTTAGATCATTTTGATTAGATTTACCTTATATTTCTAATCTCTGACTTAAACGGCGTATTGAGAGGATACGTTGAGATCAGAGTATTATGAAATGAATGACATGTAATATGTACAATAACAAATTTCAAATTGTAAACCAAGAAAAAATTTCCAGTATATAGTCCTTTAGGGCTAAGAATTAACATTTAATCTATTTTCTAATTTTATATTGATTTAGGAATGCATCACAGCGCAAATCTAATACCTCCGTTATTTTATTATTGCACAACTTGCTTTTTTAGAAAGTTTCACAAATATTGCACCATTTCCTCTTTAGGAAAAAAATTATTTGTGTCCACACTACAAATACCCAACATACCCTTGTCTTTTCACACTTACTTTTTAGTTTATCAATATGTTACATGGGCAATTTTGTATTTTTACCTTTCTCTCTCTTACTTTTTTCCACTACCAAAATATTTACACCTAACCCCTATTTGTTTTTTTTCATTATTATTAACTTCTTATAAATAGCCATAAGGGCTATATATTGCATTTTCCGAAGTTTATATATATGCTAATAACCTAACAAGACTCACATAAATATAAATTTTAGGATAGTTGAAGAAGAATATGTGAAAATACAAATAATGCTAAATTTAAAAGTATCAACTATCATTCTTCCTAATAAAAACAAGTTGGGAAAATATACACATGATAATTATGGTTGCTGTAATTTCCTTGAAAAGAGTATACATTGAGGAGAATAAGGGTAAAAACTTGGCGCCAAACCGTCATAAATAAGCCATATTAATAGATACGAGTAGATAATTCATGGACCATATAATATGGCATGGACTTTGAATAGTTTATTTTTGGACATTAAAGAAAGTTAAGTTTAGAGTATAAAGTTTTGTAGAAAGAAAGAGAAGAGAATATGAAAAGTGTGTTTTGTTCCTGAAATAGATTGTCATATTGTGGCAAGGTTACAAACTTCTTTTAGCAACTTCTACGATCAGTAGTAACTTTTGCATTTGTCGTTGAGGCTTTCTAATTATTTTATTTTGCCCTTTTCTTCTTGCAATCTACTATGTTTTGGGCTTATCTTCCCATTACTTTTTCTGTTTTCCCAATTAATAGAATTTGCCACTTCTTTCTTGGCTCTTTATCTCTATGTTTTATCAATGTATAACTCCAACGCATGCACATCCAACTTCCCATTATTGAAACATACAAAATATTCAGGTGTTTAAATTACTGATTTTTTTTTTTTTTTTTTTTTTTTTTTTTTTTTGACAAAGAGATCTATAAATGAAAAGCAAAATTACAACCTAAACTAAGCAAAGAATGCAAGATTACACGATAGGACATTGGGGGTCGGACCATACAACTTCTTATGATTAGGAAACCAAGTAAATTCGATGGGACAAGATGCAAGTCTTTTAGAGCCGCTTAACCTGCAAAACAAAGAGTTAGTAAAAAACGCGGAAGACCTACTTTACAGAGTGGCATTTTTCCTTCTAAACCTAGGGCGAGGAGACGAGACAAAACCCAACAAAAATTCAGAACAGGACGCAGTTGGGTGAACGGATGTTTGCAGAGGGAAAGATATGAGCGAAATTGGTAGGAGTGTCGACGTAGCTTCATCACATGATGACTCTTGATCTGCCATACCTATGGCGGAATCTTCTTGAATCAAATTGGAGTTGTTTCACACCTATCGTGCCCTTCCACAGGGGGGTGACTAAACTCCATTGGTGTAGCACTTTCTTGAGTTACACCACTATCCATCTTCCTTACATGATTGGCTACTCGGATGGTAATGAATTTTTTTTTGGAGAGAACAATAGTATTGTATTGTTCGCCCTTTGAAAATCGCTCCATACATTGTTGGAGTGAGATGTAAATAGGAATCATATCGCTTTCAGCTTGAGAGCTGAAAACTTGACCCTGTCAGATTTGGGTTTTTTGTTTATGAAGTTCCCTTCAGATCACAATTGTTATCTATAACGTTGGGCCTAAGATCTTGGTTGGTAGGGTTGACTTTGCCCTCCAAATCCAAAGAATTGCCATCAACGTTCTTTTCCATGTTGGTGTTGTCTTTCACACCTATCAACATGACCATCACCACGACCATCTCCTTCCTTTCTTTTCCCTTTTTTTCCTAACTTCCTACCTTTATCTTTCCTTCCTACAATGAACATAATCTCTAAACTTCTCATTCTCCCGTGTTACTGCAAGTGCCTCATCAACAAAATCCGGAGACCGACCTAATAAGGATATCACCTTCTTTAGTTTTTGTTGGAACTCATTGTTTTTAGGATCTAACTTAAGGGCTTGTGCAAGATCCATGAAAGCTAAGGTAGGCTTATGAAGTTCTAACGCCGCAATCGCTCTTCTAAAATAAGCTTTCACATTAGTAGTATCAAAACACAAAACCGCGGAACATAATTGACCCACTCTGTCATAGTCTTTCACCTTGATGAAACAAGCACCCAAGTTCAGATTAAGGGACACAGCTATGTCCGAAAACATCAATTTATCCTCATCACTACAAACTGAAGCAAAGGACAAAATCTTAAGAGCAAGAGAGTATTTTGCAATAGCAAAGCCCATTTGATTCTGCTTGTAGAACATGTTTCTTTCATCTTTTAAACTCTTAACAAAATTGAGAATACCAAAAGGATTCTCCAACTGCCCAACCGTAAACTCCAACTCAAGAGAAGAGACATCATTCTCTTGAACATGTGAAATACACAACATCCCCCTTAGTTCTTCAAAACTATCCATAAAAGAAACTTTAAACAAACAAATTAAAACACCAAAGGCAAAGCTGAAATTAACCACTATGCCTCTTAACTACATACAAGTACTAACCATACGAAGAAGTAGAGAAAGTCGGCGATGAAGGAACTGCACACTCCGGTGCGTCTTCACCGACGGGACAAAAGATGCAACAGGGGGCTTAAAGAAGACTAACCATATATATACTTCGAAAAATCGAAGCTTATGGTGTCTAATCAAGCGCAGCACCTACGAAGACTGCTCGCCGGCGACCTTACAAGAGCAGCGACGCTCAGGCCACCGGCGGCAGGGGAAAACTACGGGGGTGAGACTGAGGCTCTGTTTTGAGGAGAGAAGGCAGTTTTAAATTACTGAATTTAATTAGCGAATATGGACTATTAATTAATGAGAGGTTGATAAGGTGAAACACAGGGCAGTTATTTACCTTAATGAATTAAGGTAATGTGTCATGTGTACTTGTGTAGACTTGGTCCTTGTTTGGCAACGAGCTGACTAGCCGATTAGTTTTTTGTATAAGCTGGTTTGATTAGCTCATTGTCATGTGTAGACTTCCTTTTCCTCTTCTTGCTCCTCCCACCTATTCGTTTCCTGTACTTCCTTTAACAACAGTTGACTGTATTTTTGAGGTGTCGAATTGGACGTCTATGATTAGTCAATTAACAAATAAACGGTTAAAATTTAATCTCTTATTGTAATCGACCATAGTCGTGCGTAGTCGACGAATACGCTAGAATTTTTATAGTTCGGGTGGTGGTGTTAAACAAATTAAGGTTTTGCTCAACAGTTGGTTGATATAAGACAATAGTGGTGTTTCTCCTAATAAGATGAATCGTAGATGCAATATATTTTTTTGTTTATAAATTTAGCGTTTTCAATGTTATTTTTTGCCTTAGATTTGTTGTTTCCCTTTAACCATTGTTATTCAATCGGGTTGTAGGCATAATAAATTTTTTTTGTTATGGCTTAGGAAACGTTTGTTTGTATTGTTTGTTGGTATTCGTTTTCTCCTTTCAACCAATTTTATTCAATTTATTTGCTAATATATTAATTGTCAATCTAACTAAAATATAGTTAGGTTATCTATGGAGTTGTTTTGTATTGTGAAATAGAAATTAGGTCATTTCTTTCATATTATTATTTTTTTCTTTGTATAATCAATTTTGTTGATTAACAAGGTGAATTTACAATGCTTTAATAAATGGTAAATGCAATGGAGTATCGTGGTAAGTGGTCGAGTGAATCGGCTAATAACAAGCTTATGAATTCCTTGCAACAACACATGTAAACTATCTATCCCAACAGGTCTAAGTTGCATCCTTGTGCAGAAATGTTGTTTGCATCCTTGTGCAGCCATCTTAGCTGCAACAAGCCCAAAACGTGTGTCCAACTCAGCCTAGTAATATTTTGCCCAATGAACTGCAACCCACCCCACAAGCCATCTTTGTTCAGCTACCATATTAATATTATTTTTAAAAAAAAATCACTTCACATTCAAACTTCTGAAAATTATTTCTACACTCAAATACAATTGATTCTCTCTTCTCTCTATGATTTTCTTTTACTAAAAATATGAAAAAATCACCGTGGATGTTTGAGAAGAATTAGAAAATCAAACGAGTTCTCCCAATAAAAGGTAAATTTATGTGAATATTACTTACTTTTGAATTGTTAGATATATACTTTGTTTTATTGAAATTTCTTGAAAATCCATGAATAAAATCTATCCTAAAAAAGAAGAAGTTATGAAAATTGTTTAGGTTTATTTAAATTTACAAGTAGTCGAATTCATTTGTTTAATTTTTGTGGTTGTATTCATAATTTGACGCACACATTTTACCCTCCCCCCCCCCCCCTTAGGGAAAAAAAATACTTCAACAACTACAGGAAATCAAGATGAAATGTAAGTATAAATGATAATTGTTGATGTTATAATATTAAAATTTTAAATTTATTGTTACATTGTTGATCAACATTTTTGCTATGTTCATAATCTTTGAAATTCTATTTGTTCATTCTTTTCTATCTTTAAGTTTCATTTTATTAAGTATTATAACAAGTATCACGTCCATCAGTGGCGTATCCAGGAATTCCGAACTGTGGATTCGGAATTTTAAAAAAAATGATGATCATATATTAACTAAATATTCAATTCATAAGTTCATTTTTTTTAATTACAAATGGATGGATTTTACAAAAAAAAAAAAAAAAAAAAAAAAAAAAAAAAAAAAAAAAAAAAGAAGAAGCATTTTTCAAGTTTTCATAGTTTGAAAGCGTGCTAATACATTACTACTTCTATAAATCTATATTTCTATTGCAAAAAATCAATATTACACATAAAAATAAAAATAAAAAAATCTCAAGTCCCCAATAAACACAAATTTAACAATGTAAACTTCTAATTATCAATTAAAAGACCAAGTAAAAATTTAAAATTCTAAGTTTCTACAATTCAATTTGTCAACAATTCAAGTATTCAACAATATATCAAAACCAATTAAACAAATCCGTATGTAATTAAACTAATTATCACTAATTTTAATAAAATTAACCATTAAATAAAGATTTAAGAATTAAGAGGGACTAATTTTAATAAAATTAACCATTAAATAAATATTTAAGAATTAAGAGGAGTATAGGAATAAGAGGTCTCACAAACTCACGAAGAACGGAAGAACTCGAAAAAAAATTACAAAAAAAAAACATAAATTGAGATTAACTATTAAATAAAGATTTAAGAATTAAGAGGAGTAGAGGAATAAGAGGTCTCACAAACTCACGAAGAACGGAAGAACTCGAACAAAACTATTAAAAAAAAAATAAAAACATAAAATCAGGGCAGCAAGAATCGAACCCAGGACTTAAGGAGGAGGTTCAATGCTCTAACAATCACTCCCTTACCAATGTGCCAAGATTTGACATTTGATTATTTATCTCACATAAATTAGTTTTAACCCTTTTTTTTCTTTTTTTTTTAAAAAAATAATTAAAACTTATAATTTTTTTTTCCGAAAAATCTGTGGGTTCAATGAACCCCCCTAGACCCGCCCCTGACGTCCATTCATTTTTTCTAATGCTTATTATTCATTTAAATTTTAAAACATTCTAGTATATTAACAAGTATCAAGTCTATTCAATTTTTAATGTGTATTATTTATTTTTACAACATCCTATGTTCATTTTTTAAAAATGTGTAAGTTCATTTTTAAAACATCCGTTCTATGTTCATATTTTTTGTTTACAAGTATAGTAACAAGTATGTTCATTTTTTAAGGCTTATATGTTCTTTTTATTACTGCATATAGATTTGTTTTCTGTATACTTGATGTGCATAATCACTTAACTTGATGTGCATAATCACTTAGCTTTAGGTTAGTAGATCTTTTAATTAATTACCTATAGCTCATAAAAATTATGGTATTTATTTGATGAAGCATATGAAAACATACACTTTAGATTCTTTGCAATAGTGAGTTTGTGACTTAAAAGCTAATGATGCAAGTTTTTTAAATTTTAAATATAAACGTTATATGTTCAAATAATTTATTCGATTGTTCAATTTTTTTAGGTAGATCAAATTTGGAAGCTAAGGATGAATTTTGTGCTAAAAACAAAGGACGTAAAGTAAAGATGACTACAAAAATTATACTAAGTAACGCAGTCAAAGAATGACGTAGAGTAAAGATGGCTACAAGAAGAAGGAATGATCGAGATTGATTTTATATATGCTATAATTGAAACATTAACTATGTTGCAAAACAAGTGTGGATTATGTTTTTTATTTTTATTTTTTTATTTTATTTTATATAAATATATATAATTTGGGATTGAAGTAGGACAAGTGTGGTTTTTATCTTTTTATAAACAAGTGTGGTTTCCAAGTGGCTACCTTAATATATTTGGGGAGTTTGTTCATTTATATCTTACTAGTTGTTCATTCTTACTCGTCTATTGTGTTCATATATTACTTGTTCATTTTCATAGTTTATGCTAAAATCTAAATAATGTAAATAAAAACATAAATCTTACAAATTTAAATGAATTATAACGTGGATATCTTGTATACTTGTACAATTTTTTGCCAAATGAAAATTTATAATCAATTAAAAAATGTAAATTAATGTCTTGTCGAACATCATTGCAGTAGTTGAAAAAAACAATTGCCAAGTGGTTCAAAACCCCTAATGAGAAGCGGGTTTGAACTAATGGGGCTAAGGGGGTCGCCTATTGCCCCCTTGTAATGGGTAGCGGTTTTGGAAAGAAATGGGCAGCGGTTCACACTCCAAACCTCTTCCCATTTGTTGTTTATAGGTGGATGGTAAGGCGTAATGGGCAGTGGTTCAGTGGGCCAAGGTGTTGCATTTTAGTAAAAAAAAAACAACAGAGTTTTGGCGCACATAAAACGACATTGGCGCCAGACGCCAACATTAGCGCTAGACGCCAATGCTAGCGCCAGGCGCTACAGCTAGCGTTTGGCGCTGATTCAGAAATTCACGCATTTTCTTAAAATCAGATAAAAATTGCCGTACAGGAGGATAAAATCGTATTTTTCCTCAAAAATGCTCTTTGATTCTAATTAAAACTCTGAAAAGTCAACAAAAGTCAATTTATCAATGCTAATTAAATTAGGAATGAAAAGAATCTTCTAGAAGAATCTAGAAGACTAAAACCATTCCTAATTGCATTAGGAATGATAAATCTATATTAGGCCCTCCTCTAGATCATTGGGTAGCACATAAGGCTCAAACCGGGCCCAGTTCAGTAAATTGGCCATAACTTCCTCAATATTCATCGGAATTGGGCTTATAATATATCGTTGGAAAGCTCTAGTCAAGCCCCATCCAACTACACTACTATTGAACCCATATCATGGACCAACCAAACTAGATTGGCTGTTTTCTTAAAATAAGTTTTTAAAAACAAAGAGAAGAGAAAATAAATTAAAACTATCCGCAACACTAAACTTTCCACACTTTCACTTCATTCGA